ACTTAAATATCATATATAAGCTCACTAAATCACTAAATAATCAACATCATTGAAATTTAGGAAACTAAATAACATCTATTAAATATTTATTAGATTGAATTAGCACAATTAATATATAGAGAACGAAAATCCCAAAAATGTAATATTTGAAAGATAAAAAAGTAGAATTAAAACAAAGGCAATCCATGTAGCAAAACAAATAACTCTTAGTCTAACATTAATTAAAAAAACTAAGGCCGGATGTTTTTTTTTTTTTTAGGTTAAGATCTGAACAGATAAACTTAATTAGTGACCTTTTTAACTAAGGCTGGATGTATATTTTTCTTAGGTTAAGATTTGAACCCATAAAGTGACCTTTGAATGAATAGAAACAAAACAGAGGAGCCAAAGCAACAAGGAACTATAAAATAACAATAAATTGGTAAGTATTAAATTAACATTAAGAAGTTATAAATTCAAATAATATATGTTAAAAGAAACAAGTTTTTTTTTAATCAATTGACTAAGTTATAACGTTTTAAAGTTATATATTTTGTAATAATAATAATAATAATAATAATAATAATAATAATAATATAATGATGCAAAATATTCACAATTCAACACTATTAATATCTTATCATATTGAATTATTATATTATATAATATATAATAATAAGAAAATGAGATTTTGACAACCTCATTTCATATAACTTTAAGGTATAACTTACTTTTTATATTATAATAATAATTTTAATTTATTTTTATTAAATCTTTTTACTATTATTATATTAATAAAAAAGGGTGGTTGAAAAGTTGTTTGAACAGTAAATGTCAAAATATCATTCCTCTCGCCTTTCTTATTTAAATAGTAATAAAAAAACTAATTTTCCTTGCTTTATCTTTCTTTCTTATTATCAATGCAAAATATGTTTTCAAATCTCAGTATCTAATACCCCATCATAATGAGACAAGTTTGCATAGCCCAGTCCACCAAGAGTTTTAATAGAAATATCATTTTTAATCTGCCAGACACCACGGCTATATTGAAATACCAACCATGAACCCAATTCACACCTAAAATATTCACCGTTATCTTTAATCCAAAATAAGTTTTAAGATATTTATATTATTTTTAATTTAAAATCTTAAATCTTAAAGATAGAGATTATAACTCTTACTAAATGATAATTTTTTATACCTATTTAGATTTGACCGATTTATTTACTTATATATGTATTCTTACTTATTTTTACTACTTGGACTTAGACTCATACTAAAAAAAAATTATTAGTCTTCTTATAATATTTAAATTTTATTATAAATAAATAAATAAATAATATTTAAATAAACATAAAAAATAACTATATTATCTACTAAAGTCGTAATAATAATAATAATAATAATAATAATAATAATAATAATAATAATAATAATAATAATATATAATAATAATTATTATTATTATTATTATTATTATTATTATTATTATTATTATTATTATTCAGGTCCACACTAATAATGTTATATATTTTATTTTTAATATTAATATATTTTGTTTGTTTTAATTATTATTATAATTTAAATTTTGTTATTTGTGAATTTACAATCTTACGTATAAAATGGTAAAAATATAATATTATTGTATAATTAAAATAAATATATAAAAAGTAAAAATATAAATAATAATGGTGTCAATTTTAAAAAAATGATTTATATAATTTGTGTCATCAAATACAACTTTGATAAAAAATATAAAAATACCAAAATTGTGTCATGTACAACAACTTAATTTAAATAAAAAACAAATATTCAAGACCAAAATCTTATTATGAGATTTTTTTCACTACAAATTCGTCTTACCTAATATGACTTGTCCATATCCGTAAATTTTTTAAAATTTACCCATTTCAATTGACATATAATTATAATTACATCAATTACATAAAAAAACTGTTAAATTATTTTATTACGTAAAAGTTATTCAAAGTTACGGATGCTGTAACGATACATCATATTATTTCCAATTGAATGACCAAGCTGGAATAAAAATATTACATCAAACAGCTTGATTAACAGAGAAACACGAGAGCAAACAAGTTGATAATAGGTATTTGTTGCTTCCATTCTAGAAATATCATGTTCCACCAAATTAAAGGGAGTTACATGCTTGTATCACTGTGGGACAAGCATAGGGATTCCTTACACTGAACAAGGACAACAGGCATAACTTCTCCAAGTTTATGATCCAGTTTTCCAGATTCTATAACCATGTTAGAATTAATTTAATTAATTCATTTCATTATGTGACTCATGTGAAATATAATAATGGGCTCAAATGTGATTTAATAAAATATGAGGACCTATTGATTATTATGTGAAGTCAGAATAAAATAAAGATAAAATAAAATATTAACTTACGGTAACCAACTTGATGGACGTTGGTTAATAAAAGGGATTAGGGTTCTGTCTCTGGCCATAAGGTTTTTTCACGGTAAACCATCAAGAAAGCGAAGCGTGAGAAGAGAAAGAAAGACAAAGAGATAGATTGAGAAAAGGAGATAGGAGAACGAAAAGATCAAAGAAAAAAATTCTCATGGATCAAGGTTAGTCTTCTTACTATGATTCATGTATTGATGTATGTAAAATTGTGAAAATCAATAATCTAAAGATCCTGTAGAGTAGTTTTCTATAATGAATTAAGAACGTAGGAAAACTACGTAATGTTTTACATGTGGTATCAGAGCCTGATTATTAGATTTATGATTTTCCTTTTGTGAAAATATTTCTCAAATGATGTTTTTCCCAAATTAAGATAACCCCTAACTATGAATTTAGGGATTTCTCTATCAGATTAGTATGAACCCTAATTTATTCCCAATTTTATTTTTCTCAAAATTAAATAAAGGAATAAACCCTAATTATGTTTTCAAGTTCAAATTGAAACCAATTTTATAGTCCCTATGCGTGAATGACCCTGTAATCCTTTATAATTGAAAAGGAAAATGACGTGATAGGGTTAGGATGAATCATGTATGAAATTAGTTTCATTGTATGTTATAATTATGATGAGATGTTATAATTATGATGAGATGTTATGATGGGATGTTATAATTATGATGGAAGAATGATAAACTGTAAAGTTGATAAACTTTGCACGTAGAGAGCACGTGTTAAACACATATGTTTCATATATTATATTATATTATATTATTTATAATATTATTTTGTATGTACATATTGGTGACTGGTGACTGCTAAAGCCATTTTCTCCTATATTATTTTGTCCATATATTATTTTGTCCCCATATTATTTGTACATTATTTTGTACGTACATATTTTTTTATGTGGGGGAAAGATAATTAAAGAGTTATTTTTATGTTAAAGTGAGTTGTATAATATACTCATACATAAAACGGGTACTATAAAACTTTGTTATGGGTACTATAAAACTTTGTTATGGGTACTATAAAACATTGTTATGGTACTGTAAAACATTGTTATGGTACTGTAAAACTTTGTTATGGTACTGTAAAACATTGTTATGGTACTGTAAAACTTTGTTATGGTATTGTAAAACTTTGTTATGGGTACTGTAAAACTTTGTTATGGGTACTGTAAAACCTTGTTATGGGTACTGTAAAACCTTGTTATGGGTACTGTAAAACTTTGTTATGGGTACTGTAAAACTTTGTTATGGGTACTGTAAAACTTTGTTATGGGTACTGTAAAACTTTGTTATGGGTACTGTAAAGCTTTGTTATGGGTACTGTAAATTTGTTAAGGTTGTTAATGTACTATGAAGCTTTGTTAAGGTTGTTAATATACTGTTTTGCACAAATTTATGTATCATTTTGTTTAGGGTAAAATAATTCTTTATCGAATAATTAATACAGTTTTCGCACTAAATTGCACTAAATATTTTCTTATGATAAGTCTTTTCGTTTTTCAAATTTATCATTCCTTTTGTTTATTTTTTTTGTTGTACTTGTAATGACATAAAATGTTATTATTATTATAAAATTAATAAAAATAGTTATTGTTAGATTGTTTATCGAAGTTTCTTCCCGTGTATTTTTCTATAATCAAATATTAACCATAAAAAAATGATAGATAAAAAATATCCATTCAATTACTTTATTTATTAATAAAATAATAATTTTTAATTAATTTTGTTCTGGTCGAAGGGATATGGCGTTTTAGGTATTCTCCCTCTTTTTTATAATCAAATTTTTCCTTAGGTTTTTTTCTCTTTTGCATCTATCGGTCCCAATAATATCTTATTCCCCGTACTATCTACGCATCGGGTCCATTAAGTATCAATCAAGTTCATCTCCCCCAAATGGGTTTATCTTGACCCACTTTACTCATCTAGTTGGACCCGAGCCCAACCAGACCCAATCTCTATGCACATATCACAGCTCCAAGTCTTAAATTAGAAAAATATTTCTAAAACAAAGACTAAAAACCGAAATAAACGTCGAATATACTTCATCCCTTAATATTTCATGATATAATTACAAAGTTCAACCACTTAAAAGGAATAAACAACTATTAAAAATCAGACTTACAGTGACCGTCGTCTTGATGTAGAGTGTGAAAATTGCTTCCGCAAATACTTGAATTTAGATGAAAATTAACATGTTTTTACTCATACTCCAATTTAGATCGCATTTCGATCTTAGTTCGCATTCCGAACATAACTCGCATTCCGAGCATAGGTCGTATTCCGTCCATAGTGCGTATTCTGCACATAGCTAGTATTCCAAGCATAAGTCGCATTCTGAGCATAAGTCGCATTCCGAGCATAAGTCGCATTCCAACCATAGTGCATATTTTGCACATAGTTCGCATTTCAAGCATAGGTCGCATTTCAACCATAGTGCGCATTTCACACATAGCTCGCATTTTGAGCATAAGTCACATTTGAACTATAGTATGCATTTCACACTTAGCTCGCATTCCGAGCATAGTTCGCGTGCACGTTTCACAACTCAGGCACTGAGATTTAGTTCCTGCTTTACCATTTCCAATAGTGTCCTAAAGCAAATGAATAAACAGTATAACCGGCGTTAGATGAGATCCAAAGTATTGGGCGAGCCTGTTCTCTCTCTCTCAGAGTGGGGTTGAAGCAAAGGCTGAGTCTTGGCACAACAGTACATTTACTATCTTCAGCCTTCATGATCATTAGTTTTAGTGGTGGTAACAGTATCCTCGTGCACACAAAAGTAAGGTTTTGTACATCGAAGCAACACCAGAACCCCACAATCTCTCTGCATATGGGAGTAAGATGGCTGCATATAACAAATCCTCCTCAGACTTTAACATGGTGTTAGCCTTATGCACAGGGATTCCATTCAGGGTGCCATGATAAAAGACTAATTCTTTAACAATAGTATTTCCGATTTCTTTCTCAACTCAAGTTCACATTAAATACGAAATAGAATATCCCTTAGATATATATAAATAGTAGTTTGCAAGAGTACAGAAGATATTATTATAAATGAACCAAGAGCATAGAACAACAAGAACTAGACTTTGTCCTAATAGATTTATCAAGGGATGTATCAATATTCAAATTGCATTAACATATATATGGCTAAACAAATTACGATGAAAGACACGAAATTGGCTTTCACTAAATATACTACTCAAATAATTTATAAAAGTATATTTATTTGGGAGCTGATAAGGAGAGAGAAAAGATATCAACGAAATCAGAGAAGGCCAAAGTGTTGGGAATGGAGGAAATTAACAATTTTCCTTTCTTTTGTTCTAATGCTAAAACTTTTATATTGCTCATACTAAGCAAATAACACTCTAAACATCAACCATTTCACATCACTTTCCTATTATCGGTCGCGGATATTGAACATTCATTTTGGGGTCAAATAATATATTATTAATAAATAATAAATAATATATTATTAATAAATAATAAATAAATATAAAATAATATATTATTAATAAATAATAAATAAATATAAAAGGAAGAGAGAAGATGAAAATGTAAAAGGATAAAATTGTAGATATATATTTAAATATATTAAATGATTATTAAGTTTGAAGGAGACAAAGTCATAAATTACATGAAAATTACAAAATTGAGAAGGGGGTTGAGAGAATAGAATTGTAAATATACATATAAATATATTAAATGTTGGTTAAGTTTGAGGGAATCAAATCATAAATTACAAAAGTTTGGGGTCATGGCCATTGAGTTCCGATCCGCGACTACACAGACACACTAACACACCCTAGCTGTTTTAAAGTGCCAAAACCGAGGCCAAATACTTAAAAAAAACCTTCTCATTACGACCACGACGTGATTGTGGTCGTGCAAAACAACTTAAAAATAAAAACTTGATCTGTTTCCTTTTCGTTATTATCCGATCAGGTAGTAAAAGCAAAACTTGAGGGGTGAAAGTGAAACCCATTGAACAGGTTGAAGGGAGTGAACTAAACCTGGCAAACACGAACCCAAGGGCGAGTAGAGGAACGCACTACTTCTTCGCCGAAGGTGGATTTCCCGCTTCCCGGTGCTCCCACCAATATCACCAAAACGGGCTTCCCCTCTCTGGGTGCAGAAGTTTCGTCCACGTCCATCATGTCCATTTTCAAGCTCGAGCCTAGTTCGTCAAATTGTCAATGTTATGCAACTTAGGCGTAAGATTATTAGCTGACTCCATCCATTGAAACTTCCAGCAATGCTACTTACGCCAAAATTGCTGAATTAACATACTAAAAGCAAGTAAGCAACATGGCTACATCAAACACCTAAGATTCCAAAATTGAATTTTGTACTGATGTGTGTATAAGAAAGAAAGAAAGCAATAATAAATGAGTGAAAGAAAATAATTGCTTATACTTTCAGAGTAAGCAAACTTCCAACACACATACTGGATTCAGCTAAACAATGCAAATAGTTAGGCGACCAACATTCATTCAGCAACCAAACTAAAAGAATCAAGTATAGCCCAAGATCCAATATTTAAACAGAACAAAAATTGCTAAAGGTTAGGGTCACATAAAGAATAAAATACATTAATAAAATGAAATAAAAAATAAAAAAGAGGATACTCAAGATGCATATTGTTGGGAGTTATTATGCTTGGAGAGCTTGTCTGCAAGTATCTGCTCTTTGAAAACGCTATTCATGTTCTTCAATACTGCTCCCTCACCAGAAACAATTCAAGTAAAACCTATGCCACTGTGAAAAACTAGGAATAGACCATTGAACTGTAAAACCCTAAAACAGAATCGGAACCGAAAGGAGCTTCAATACCAATACTAGTGCCCAACTCGCTAAAACATGTGAAAAGAAAAAGCTCTTTTGAAAATCCGAACAAGAAGCGAAAGCGAAGTATAGAAAAGAAGATGAATTTGAGCAGGGATAGCAGCGGGAACACTGCTGGGAATCGAGACCAATTAAAACCACCACGTTTTGGGCAAATCAGAATTCAGAGAGAGATCTTGTATAAAAAGAAGAAAAATTAACAGAGATAAAGGAGCGCCTTTTCTCTTTTCGAACTCCATTGTATTCTTTCGAAAGGGTAAACGTCATTGTTTCGGTTGTTGGTATAGCATGATTGTTTTGAACTATGAGTACGGTGGGGGTGCCAATATTCTCGCTGAAGAGATATAGGTCTTTTCCTTCTTTTTTTATGATTAAATTTTTCTTTTAAGTTTTTTTTATTTTTTTATCTATCACTCTTAATAATATCTTATTTTTTTATTATTTATGCATTAGTTCGTTAAATATTAATCAAGTTTATTTCATTAAGTATCAATTAAGTTTATTTTTCTCAAATACGTTTATCTTAACGAAGAGTCTAACCAAACCTAATCTCTACGTAGATATCAAATTTAATATCATGTTAGTAAACAAATTTATATATTATATTTTTTTTATTTTTAGTTTTTGAAAATACAAATACTTAATAATAAGATTTCACATTCATGTTTATAAGAAGATTGATACATCATCTTTAACTTAGTATATAAATAATATAAAAGATTCATCGGATAAAACAATTTTATTATGGAGGAGTGATATTTTAACATTTACTTGTTCAAACAACTACTTCCTATGGAACCCCTTTTTATTAATATAATAATAATAAAAAGATTTAATAAAAATATAATAATAGTAAAAGATTTAATAAAAATAAAAATAGATTAAAATTATTATAATAATAATAATATAATAATAATAAAAAGATTTAATAAAAATATAATAATAGTAAAAAGATTTAACAAAAATAAAAATAAATTAAAATTATTATTATAATATTAAAAGTGAATTATTGAATAAAGTGGTATGAAATGAGATTGTAAAAATATCATTTTCTTATTATTATATATTATATAATATAATAATCTAATATGATAGGATATTAATGTGATTGAATTATTGATATTTTGCGTCATTATGTTATTTGTTTTATTATTACTAATATTATTAATATAAAATACATATATTTAAAGCGTGATAACTTAGTTGATTAAAAAACAAAACTTATTTTCTTTAATATATATTATTTGAATTTATAATACAAAACTTGTTTTTTTAAGATATATTATTTGAATTTATAATTTATTAATATTAGTTATTTTATAATTTATTGTTGCTTTGATTCCTTTGTTTTGTTTCATTTTATTCAAAGGTCACTAATTAATCTAAAAAAAATTCACATCCGACCTTAATTAAAAAGTTACTAATTAAGTTTATCTGTTCCGATCTTAACCTAAAGAAATACACATCCCAACCTTTTTATTAATATAATGATAGTAAAAAGATTTAATAAAAATAAAAATAGATTAAATGAATAGGTGGTTCAGGGAGTGGGGGAGAGGGATGGGATTAACAGAGGCGGAGGCAGAGTCGGAGTCGGAATCGGTAACGTGAAGAGGGTCACCGTCGGCAAAGAGGGTTGTCCAAAGCCAAACGACTTTGGCGGCGGCGAGGAGGGAGGGAGAAACTTGCGGCGGATGCACGAGGAGAATGTTGTACCTTCGCATGTTGAGTTGGTGAAGCGCATTGGAGAAGTCTCTGTGACCGGATATGAGCAAGTAGTTAGCGGGGGCAGGATTGTCTACTGCCCACAACAGCATGTCCATTAGGATCTTCTTGTTGCTCGCATCTTTCATCCCTGATAAAAACAATCAAACGAACAAGCAAAAAACAATCAAACGATCCAGCGAAAAAAGTCACGTGAACATGTGTGTGCGTGTTCACAAGTCCGTGTTTGAGCATGATTACCGACGGGGATGTGGTTGAGAGCGACGCCGGTGCTGAAGAGGGCATGCTGGATGGGCAGCGGAATGCAGTTAGCGTCGCCGTAGGCAGAGATGGAGACGGTGCCGACATAGTTAGAGTTGACGAGAGCGGAGGTTATGTTATGCAAAATGTAGTGAGGGTCTTGGCCATTGGGAATGGGACAGTGGTGAATGTCCCACCACACCGAAATCTTGGCACGTGAGTATGCCATGGAAGTAGTTGGCTCTCGATTGCCCGCCATCCACACGCAGCCACTGAAATTCTTGATTTCTTGGTCTAAGATTAGGGTTATATATATATTCGTCATATCTTTTATTTATATACTTTATTTATATATAAAATAAAATATTATAAAATATCAAATATTAATAATATCTTAATCATAATTTCCTAAATCAAAATAATAACTTAATATCTTTTTATCTTCTCTTAAAAAATAATAAAAATATTTTAATAACTAATTTAAATAATAAAATAATAAAAATATCTTAATACCTATTTTAAATAAAAAATAATAATATTTACAACATTTATTATCTTCAAAATTACTCTATTTTAATCTAATAACAAAAGTAATACATATGATCACACACAAAATTTTATATGTTTTATAACTTACGTTTTTATCTAATTATTACTTTAATCTCTATATAAGAAATTGATTGATACTGGTTTGAGTAACCCAATTTTAAATATATATAATTGCTTTCTTTTATACTCTTAATTTATTGTTAATTTTATTAATGAAATGTCCACTAATTCTCTATACAATAGATACATTTGTTTTTATACATGACACAATTTTGTTTTTTGTTTTTTTTTTATCAAAGTTGTATTTGATGACATAAATTATATAAATCATTTTTTTAAAATTGATACCATTATTATTTATATTTTTTACTTTTTATATATTTATTTTAATTATACAATAATATTATATTTTTACCATTTTATACGTAAGATTGTAAATTCACAAATAACAAAATTTAAATTATAATAATAATTAAAACAAACAAAATATATTAATATTAAAAATTAAATATATTACATTATTATTATTATGGACCTGGACAGTTGTTATTATTATGAGCTTAGTAAGAAGACCTATCACTCATATTTTTGAAGACTCTGCATGGCCGATTGCAGCAAGTTCTTGCAATCGTCGAGGGTCATCTTAATGCCACTATCTTTGTCTCTGTGCTCGGTTGTGAGCCGATCACTCGTATAGAATGCTTTGATCACGTTGTTCATGGTGGCTTTCACCGCCTTAGAGATGCAAGCCTTGGGGTAAGCGGGGTCAGCATTTTTATCTGAGGCGGATCTTGATCATTATTCTTGAAGGATCAAATAATATATTATTAATAAATAATAAATAAATATAAAATGAATAAATAAAATAAAATATTGAAATAATGAAATTATAAATATATACTTAAATATATTAAATGATCAGTGAAATAAAATCATAAATTATATAAGAATTACAAAACTAAGGAGGGAATGAGAGGATAAAATTATAAATATACAAGTAAATATATTAAATGTTTATTAAATTTAGGTAGTCAAAATCATAAATTATATGGGAGATACAAAACTTTAGAGTACCACGATTTCCCTCAGTTCCCAAGAAAATTCGTCGGTGCCACGGAGATGAGAGTGTCATGGTAGAATTTTTCACATGGTTGGATCTGGATTTTTTTTACTAGTTATAGATTTAAAAATTCAGAAAAAAAATATATATATATATATATATATATATATATATATATATATATATATATATATAAAAGCTATTGTTATGTCACTAAATAATCAGTATAATTGAAATTTAGGAAACTAAATACCATCTATTAAATATTTATTAGATTGAATTAGCACAATTAATATACAGAGAACAAAAATCTTAAAAATTAATATTTGGAGGATAATAAGTAGAATTAAAACAAAGGTCATCCATACAAACTTTATGAAGCAAAATAAATAACTCTTTGTCTAACATTAATTAAAAAAAAAAACTAAGTCCAAATGTGTATTTTTTTTAGGTGAAGATTTGAATAGATAAACTTAATTAATGACTTTTTTATATGTGTATTTTTTTTAGGTTAAGATTTGAACCGATAAACTTAATTAGTGACCTTTGAATGAAAAAAACAAAACAGAGGTGTCAAAAAACCAAGGAACCATAAAATAACAATAAATTGTTAAGTATTAAATTAATATTAAGAAGTTATAAATTCAAATAATATATGTTAAAAAAAACATGTTTAATTTTTTTTTAAACAATTGACTAAGTTATCACGTTTTTAAGTTAGTTATTTCGTATTAATAATAATAATAGTAATAATAAAACATAATAACATGATGCTGCGAAATATCCAAATCCAACAATATTAATATCTTATTGTATTGAATTATTCTATTATATAATATATAATAATAAGAAAATGATATTTTGACAACCTTATTTCATACAACTTTAAAAAATAATTCATTTTTAATATTATAATAATAATTTTAATCTATTTTTATTTTTATTAAATCTTTTTACTATTATTATATTAATAAAAAGGAATTGTAGAAGAAGTTGTTTGAATTAGTAGATATCAAACTATCACTCCTCCATAATAAAATGGTCTTACCCTTAGAATCTTTTATGTTATTTATATAATGAGTTAAAGATTGTGAAGATGTATCTATCTTCTTGTAAATATAAGTGTGAAATCTTATTATTAAGAGTTCTGATATTTTCAAAAAAAAAATTCAATATACAATTTTATTTATTAATATTATATTAAATTAATTAAGAATTATTATTTTATTAATAAGTAAAGTTATTGAAGGATATTTTTTATCTAAAACAAAAACAACTTATCATAAAAAATATTTGGTGCAATTTAATGCATAAACTGTATTAATTATTTGACAGTGAATTATTTTACCCTAGCTATAAACAAAATGATAGATAAATTTGTGCATATAACAACATAGTTTTTTTTTTATTGAATTTTAATACATTATTCACTAATTTTTTATTCTTCAAAATTAAATTTTGCAATTCAAATGTTTTTATTTTAATTATAAATATTAATAAAATTATAAATTATATTACTGTACGTTATATGAAACAATTAACAATAATATATATATATATATATTATAATAAAATATAAATTTAATTGTACGTTTCAAACGTATGTAAATTGAATTTTTATATTTTTTTTGGGGGATTTTAGTTGTGTTAGTTTTTGTCAATATAGCAAGTAATTTTAAAACTTAAATATCATATATAAGCTATTGTTATGCCACTAAATAATCAGCATAATTGAAATTTAGGGAACTAAATAACATCTATTAAATATTTGTTAGATTGAATTTAGCACAACTAATATGTAGAGAACGAAAATCCTAAAAATATAATACTTGAGGATAAAAAGTAGAATTAAAACAAAGACAATCCATGCAAACTTTACCAAGCAAAACAAATAACTATTTGTCTAACATCAATTAAAAAAGCTAATTAAGGGTACTTTTTTTTTAAGGTTAAGATTTGAACAGATAAACTAAGATCTTTTTAACTAAGGTCAGATGTGTACTTTTTTTTAGGTTAAAATTTGAATCAATAAACCTATAATTAATGAAAAGTGAGACAAAACAACAAAGAACCATAAAATAACAATAAATTATTAAGTATTAAATTAACATTAATAGGTTATAAATTCATATAATATATGTTAAAAGAAACAAGTTTTGTTTTTTTAATCAATTGACTAAGTTATCATGTTTTAAAGTTATGTATTTTGTATTAATAATAATAGTAATAATAAAACATAAAAACACGATGAAACCAAATATCCAAAATCCAACAACATTAATATCTTATCGTATTGGATTATTGTATTATATAATATATAATAATAAAAAAATGATATTTTGACAACCTCAATTTATACAACTTTAAGAAACAACTCACTTTAAATATTATAATAATAATTTTAATCTATTTTTATTTTTTATTAAATCTTTTTACTATTATTATGTTGATAAAAAGGGGTTGCAAGAAAAATTGTTTGAATGAGTAGATGTCAAAATATCACTCCTCCGTAATAAAACTGTTTTAACAATCAAATCTTTTATGTTATTTATACACTGAGTTAAAGATGATGCGAAGATGTATCTATCTTTCTATAAACATAATTGTGAAATCTTATTAAGAAGAGTCCTGATATTTTTTAAAAATAAAAATAAAAAAATTCAATATACAATTTTGTTTATTAATATTATATTAAATTAATTATAAATAAAATTAATTAAAAATTATTATTTTATTAATAAATAAAGTTATTGAAGGGATATTCTTATCTATCATTTTTCTATTGTTAATATTTGATTACAGAGAAATATACAGAAGAAACCTCTATAAACAACCCAATAATAACTATTTTTTTAATTTTATAATAATAGTAGCACTTTATGTCACTACAAGTACAAGAAAAAATAGATAAAAGAAATGATAAATTTGAAAAACAAAACAACTTATCTTTTAGTGCAATTTAGTGTATAAACTGTATTAATTAATCGATAAAGAATTATTTTACTCTAAAAACAAAAGCATAGATTAATTTGTGCATATAACAACATAGTTTTTCTTTATTGAGTTTTAATACATTATTCACTAGTTTTTTTTATTCTTCAAAATTAAAATTTGCAATTCAAATATTTTTATTTTAAATTATAAATATTAATAAAATTATAAATTATATTATTGTACGTTATATGAAATAATTAATAATATATATATATATATATATATATATAATAAAATATAAATTTAATTGTACGAGTTAGTTTCAAATGTATGTAAATTGAATTTTTATACTTTTGATGGGGGATTTTAGTTGTTAGTTTTGTCAATATAGCAAGTAATTTTAAAACTTAAATATCATATATAAGCTCACTAAATCACTAAATAATCAACATCATTGAAATTTAGGAAACTAAATAACATCTATTAAATATTTATTAGATTGAATTAGCACCATTAATATATAGAGAACGAAAATCCCAAAAATGTAATATTTGAAAGATAAAAAAGTAGAATTAAAACAAAGGCAATCCATGTCGCAAAACAAATAACTCTTAGTCTAACATTAATTAAAAAAAACTAAGGCCGGATGTTTTTTTTTTTTTTTTAGGTTAAGATCTGAACAGATAAACTTAATTAGTGACCTTTTTAACTAAGGCTGGATGTATATTTTTCTTAGGTTAAGATTTGAACCCATAAAGTGACCTTTGAATGAATAGAAACAAAACAGAGGAGCCAAAGCAACAAGGAACTATAAAATAACAATAAATTTTTGAGATAAAATCGGAAAAAGTTGAGTATCCAGAACAAAAGATAGAATAGTGGGAAAAAAGTTCAAAACTTCGATTTCCGAAGATTGAAATTGAAACAAACGACGGTTATCTCTATATATGAAAATACTGGATAGCGATTTTTGAAACTGTATTGGGTGGTTATGCAAAATAGGTTATAAATTGAATTAAATATGTGAAGGGGGAAATTTCTGATACAAGTCTAGAATAACGAGGATTATGAAATTTCTATCAATCTGATCTTTATTATGGTTTCCTTTACTTTTCCTGGTAATTTACTTTCATACTGTTTAGGTTCACTATAAGAAAAAACACATTTAGCCACCGAAATTAGCGACCGATTTAATTTTGGTTGCAATTAGCGACCGATTTAATTCGGTCGCAATTAGCAACCAATTTAGCGACTACTTTAATTTGGTCGCAATTAGCGACCGATTTAGCGACCAAGTTAATTCGGTCGCAATTTAGCGACCGATTTAGCCACCAAAATATGATTTGGTTTTCACTTTTTTATTTAGCGACCGAAATAGCGACCAATATTTTGCGTCGCAAAATTTCGATCGCTAAATCGGTGACTATTTCATACTAAAATAAAAAAATCATTTAGCGACCGAATTACAAATTGAAATAGTGACCGAATTAAAATCGATCGCTAATGAGAAAATAGCGACCGAATTGAAATCGATCGCTAATGAATATTATTTTTTTATTATATTTAAATTTATTTTTTTATAAATATACTTTAATTGTTTTAGTATATTTTTTACAATTTATTTTTTAAAAGTAATTTATTTTTTAAAAATAATTTAATTTTTAAAATATACTTTAAAAATGAACTTTGGTCTCAATATTAACAAAATGAATTGTAATAAATCAAATTTATTAAAAATTTAAATTGTAATAAATTAAGACTAGAGTGATATTAACTATTCAATACATTG